GGAGCTCTGGCGTAGGCTGGTCCATGAGGTCACGAAGAGTCGGAGACGACTGAACGAATGAACAACAACACGGTCATTGAATGCAAGTGTACACTGCCACCTAACGCCGTTCAACTGCACTATGAGTCCACACTGCCATCTAATGTGGTTCAACTGTATTATAGGAGTCTACACTGTCATCTAATGCAAGTGTATGAGGACGAGCTCGCAGGCCCCTGCTTTCAATCTGATTTGAACCGCACCAGGGAGTTCTGCAGTTCCTGAACACTTGGATTAAATGAAGACAAAGGGACTGTGGCTTCAGCAGCAGCTCTAACAGCAAAGACCTTTTTATTTCCTTTTTTCCTCACTAAACTGAGCTCCCCCGTTTCAATGTAACAAACTTTAATAAAGAAATATACTTTTACTAACTTTTTCCTCTTCATAGTGATACATTCTGTCCCTTTACTAACTCAAATGGTAACTAACATGAACCTCTCCCTTCCTGAGCCGCAGATCCCTGCTGGCTCGCCCGGGGTGTTCTTACAGTGTCCCGAGGAGGCCGAAACTTCATTCCTCTGAACTGCGGATACGAAGACCCATGGAGCCCCCATATCCGCGGGTCAACAGATCGGCTCTAAATTGGTGCCATCTTTTCTTAGACTAATTTTAGGACTAACTGCTATCTTACCAGCTGGTTTCAATCCATGGCTCCACGTTGCAACGATGTTCTTCTTTTTTATGTGCGTCCAGAAGCCTGTTAGCACCGGGAGAACCCCCTGAGGTCACCTCTTGGAACCCCTGGACCTCTTGCAGTCCACTCTGCCCTTCTGTGAATTGGATCTGCAGTTTTTCTTTCTTTTTAATGAGTGGATTCCAACCACGAGTGCTCCCAGAGACTCTCATGGACTTTTGGGAACTGTTACCAATTTCCAAAGAACTTTCATAAACTTTTCTTCAACTCTCATGAACTTTCCAAGGACTTTTATGAACTTTTGCCAACTTTTATCAACCTTTGAGAACTTTGAGTACTTTTATCAATTTTGGGAACCCTCAGATCCTCCAGGAACTCTTTTGTCAAACCCCTATGGATTTTGGGCTCTCATGGACTCTTTTTATCAATTTCCCTAAACTTTTGATGAACTTTTGGGGGGCTGGCATGATTTCCCTTGGGACCCTGTATGTTGGAACCCAGACGCCTTAAAGAGCCAGACTCTTTAAGGCATCCAAAAATAGAGTTTATTAACACAAAGCAAAAGGGACTCAGAGACACTTACTTCAGTGTCCCTGGTCAGAACTCAAAAGAAGCAGCAAGTTCCAGTTCAAAAAACCAAGTAAGGCAATAATCTGGATTATCCGGAGAAAAGATCCGGATTAAACTAAAATACTTCAAAAGTCATGCAAAATAACACAGCAAATAAAGGGTGAACAAACAAAGGGATGCAAAGAAGAAAACATAGTCAAACGAAGTCCAAGATCGTAGTAAGCCCAGTCCAAAGTTGCAAGGTTCCAAAGTCCGTTTAGGCAGCGTCGTAGTCAAAACCGATCTGAAGTCAAAGAAGGGGAAATCCGCACTCACGAGAATCCAAGCCGAGTTGTAACATGAACGGGAGCAGCAACCTGCGGATCCAGGACCCAAACCCAACACAAAAGCAGCAGCGACAAAACCCAAAGCACGAAACCAACACTTTGCCTTCTGCAAAGATTCTCCAATTCAGTGACTACTTTTATCTTACACCTCATCATCCGATGATGAGCTGACCTCCGCCTCGCTGTCTTCTCTTACAGCTGTCCTTGCCTCCACACCTGAACGCCGACACCCATCCCTCCAACTCTTCCACCTTTTGTCAAGACTTAGATCTCCCCAAGACTCAGCAGTATCGCCTGATTGCCAATCCCCACCACCAGAAAACCCCACAAACGTGTCACTAGACGTTGGCTGAGTGCACACATCTCAAACCTCTTGAACCTTGGTCCAATCCAGTGTGTCATCCTCATCCCCATCACTCCCAAACCCATCACTCCCAGAGAAACCCATGAAAGACTCTTCATCTGTGAGCTCAGTAAGTATATCCCGGATCTTCTTCCTCTGTCGCTCCTCATCCGATTCCTGCTCCCGAATAACCCTCTTAGTTCCCCTATTCACATCCAGTATATCTCCTTCCTCCTCCTTCGCTCTCACAAAACCCTTCGAAGGAGTCTTCGTTGGTAGGTGACATAAGTATATCCCGGATCCTTTTCCTTTGTTGTTCCTCATCTAGCTCTTGCTCACAAACAGTCCTTTTTCCTCTTCTGACACCCATACTACCACTTGCAGTGTTACTAACAGGCTCTACTACAACACTGTATGGTTTCCCCTCTCCTTATAAATTTATTGTATGGTTCCTTATCCCATTCCCATCCTTTATATGCATGAAATATGAAGGAAAAGCCACTGTTTTCATAAAACCAGCGACTCTCATGACTCTAGAAGTCCCTCCACACTTCCTGAGCTGATAATCCCCTAACAACTCAGTGGCTTTCCTTCAACTTGGTGATATTTATTGGGAAAATTAGGAAAAAAATCTTTCTGGGTGTCTTCTGTCTCACCAGGTGTCCGGATCCTTCTTTTTCGGGTTTGGCCGGCCCCTGCCTTGGTGGGGCCTTCCAAATTCGTGTTCGACATCATCTACATTGCCATCTAATGTGGTTCAACTGCACCATATGAATCTACACTGCCATCTAATGCAGTTTAGTTGCATTAAACTGCACTACACTATACTACACTGGCCTATAATGCAATTCAATGCAGTTAAACTGCATTCTGAAACTGCATTAGATGGCAGTATAGGTGGGACTCAGTTATCCTGATATGTGTGTTCAGTGGACGGCAGGTGAGGCAGAGGTGGCCCTAGGTAATTTTCAATGGTAAGCAAACAATACCCCCCCCCCCCCAAATCACTGATATATATTTTCTGTTCTTCGTGGGAGTTCTGTGTGCCATATTTGGTTCAATTCCATCATTGGTGGAGTTCAGAATGCTCTTTGATTGTAGGTGAACTAGAAATCCCAGTAACTACAACTCGCATATGTCAAGGTCTATTTCCCCTCAAGAGCGCCTCTGGGCAAAATCAACTATACTGCAAATGCTTACTTTGCGTAATGGGTTGAGCCGCCCCTGGGCATAGGCTTCCGTTGTTGTTATGTATATTTATCAACAAAAAGTGTTACACTTTTGGGGTTTTTTTGGGGGGGGGGGGATGAACCCTTTTAACTTACATATTGCAATGTGTTAATAAGGAAAATGGAAAACCTGTATATGCAAGTCAGTGGATCAAGAATTGACTATATTTCTAGGTTTGCATAGAATTTATGTGTGCTCCTCTTTTAGAAATAGACCCATTGAGATATAAGTGCTATAATATGAAGTAGAAATGTAATGCATTGCAAAGCAGTGTCTTCTAATACTGTGTTGTGTTTTGCAGGAAACAGCTGCGGGACTCCAAAGGACTACTGCTCCTAAGTCCCCATTTAGTTCAATATGGTTTGTACATGAGAAGCTCCCTGTGGATTGTGCCTCAAGAACAAAGCTAAAGGCTGTTGTTGCTCTTTGCACAGTTCAGTATTAAACAGGAAGAGTTCACAGCGGGTTGCTGTAAGTTTTTCGGGCTGTATGGCCATGTTCCAGAAGCATTCTCTTCTGACGTTTCACCTGCATTTATGGCAGGCATCCTCAGAGATTGTGAGGCCTAGCAGTTTTCAAGGTGTGCCTTCTTATTGCCTGGGGGCATCCTTTGTTGAGAGGCGATTAGCTGTCCCTGATTGTTTCTTGTCTGGAGTTCCCCTGTCTTTATTTACTGTTATGGTTTTAGAGTTCACAACGTTACTCAGAAGGTGTTGGTAACACAAATAACTCCAGCACATCTGTTTGTATGCAGCATTTAATTTATTCTGATCACAGAACATGAAATGTATGTCATTTATTATTATTCTTCCTTCCTTTCTTTCTTTCTTCCTTCCTTCCTCTGCCATTCTGGAGAAAAGCAAGTCTTTGAGAGGGTAGAGTGGTTAGTCACAGCTAGAGGATTTAGTATATTATTATTATTATTATTATTATTATTATAGTCCCTTCTACAATGCCATATAAAATTCAGATTATCTGCTTTGAACTGGATTATATGGCAGTGTAAAAGGGGGCCTTATTATTATTATGAGTCTACACTGCCATATAAGCCAGTTCAAAGCAGATAATCCACAATATCTGCTCTGAACTGGGTTGTCTGAGTCCACACTGTCATATAACCCAGTTCAGTGTGGATTTTATATAGCTTTGTAGAAGGGCCCTTAATGAGTTTGAAATGGGACACTTTTACAAAATATGTTTCAACCGAGATCTTGAAACACCACAAATCAAATTGTAGATCATTTGACATATTTGCCCCATTATGCCAGAATTGGGTAGGAGGCAGTGGTTGCTACCCCACAGTTGTTCTCTTCCATGGACATGAGGATGTAGCCATCGTTGCCCCAGTAGGTGGACCAGGAGTTCTTGATGAGCCAATAGTTCTCTCCCAGGAGGTTCCCATATCCGACCGCTAGCACTGCATGGTCTAATTCCATACTTCTGTTTCCTAAAAGGAAAAGATATGAAATACCTCAAAGTAATGTGAGAGCAAGTATGGAATGATGGGAGAATCAATATGACGAGAGAGGATCAATCACATGCGTTGGATGCAGATGGTGGTGGGAATGAAGACACATTTTCATCCTAGTTCAGAGGAACATTTTGTTGCAGATTCAATACCAATCTAAACCAAACAGGTAGTCATACTGCTCCATTATCACCTGCACTTTTGCATACGGATCTCCACATTTCAACCGTTTGTTATGCCTATTTCTAGGTCCATCAGCATGATTCTGTGGTCAATTTGCACTGCAGAAGTCCCACCTGCAAGTCCAATCAAACCTGCAAATATCAAACCCCCAAATGTGAAAGCCTGGCTGGAGTGTTACACTAATAGCAGAGTTGCATTTACAGTGTTACCCTATTTACTTGAATCTAACGCCAGGGGCGGCTCAACCCATTACACAAAGTAAGCATTCATAGTATAGTTGATTTTGCCCAGGGGCGCTCTTGAGGCGCTCTTGGGGGAAAATAGACCTTGACATATACGAGTTGTAGTGAATGGGATGTATAGTTCACCTAAAATCAAAGAGCATTCTGAATTCCACCAATTATGGAATTGAACCAAATATGGCACACAGAACTCCCATGATGAACAGAAAATATATATCAATGATTGGGGGGGGGGGGGGCAAAATACCGTTTGCTTACCATTGAAAATTACCTAGGGCCACCTCTGTCTAACGCTCACCTTTTTTGACTAAATTGCCTTGCCAAAATTAGGGTGCGCATTCGATTTGTGTAATATGGTAATCTTAGAGCGGATCTAGACAACCCCTTTATTGTGGAAACTATTGGGGTGCGGAAACTATTGGGGTGTGGTTAAGTGTCCCAGTGTTATACCGGGAAGCCATTTTAAATTTCTCATAAAAGGACATTATGTGAGTCGATTGCATGATTGTAAATATGTTGTTCTGAACTTCAAAGAGTAAACTGGGTTGCTGTATGGCAATGTTCCAGAAGCATTTTCTCCCTGGGAGAATCCTTTGTTGAGAAGTGATTAGCTCTCCCTGATTGCTTCTTGTCTGGCAGTTCCCCTGTTTTTTAATGTTAATCTTTATTTACTGTTATGATTTTAGAATTTTTTTTTAAATACTGGTAGCCAGATTTTGTTCATTTTCATGGTTTTTTCTTGTTCTTTACTGTTCATCTGCGTGGCATATTTTCTCTCTGGCAAGGCAGTGTGTGGGCTGATCAAACATGAACTATGCATGATTTTCATTTTTTCACATATGTTATATTGTATTTAATAATCTGGTTTTCATGTATTTATTTGTTTGCCTTGTATCTGAAAGAGCTATGGTCTAAGCATCAAATAAACTTGACTTGTGCGCATAAGACTCGGTGGCGCATTAGACTCGAGTGAATACAGGTATATTTGAAATCCCATTCCAATAAAACCAGGAACAATAACAACCAGAAAAAATGTACAATTAACAAATCTATTGACCACCCCTATTGGGATTTTTTAATGTGTAAATCAATAGACCATACTGCAGGCATGGGAAAATTTGGGTCCTCTAGGTGTTTTGGACTTCAACTCTCACAATTCCTAACAGCCTCAGGCTCTTTTCTTTTTCCCCTAAGCCGCTTAAGCGGAAAGGGAAAGGGAAAGGGAAAAGGAAAAGGAAGGGGCCTGAGGCTGTTAGGAATTGTGGGAGTTGAAGACCAAAACACCTGGAGGGAGGGCCCAAGTTTGCCCACCTGGCATACTGGCTCACAAACACACCAAAAATAACCTGTGGTGTTCTTTTTGTTTCCTTTGAGGTTAAGAAATATCTGCTAGTACAAGATCATATCCTAATTCCAACCTTAAAAATTCCAACCGTGAATTTTAAAATATTGTTTATATTTAATTCTGTTTTAATATGTGCATATTTGTATGTTTTAAATTGTAGGCTGGTGCTTTTATATTAAGCTGCTTTAAGTCTCTTTTGGGCAAGATAAAGCAGGATATAAATATAACAACAACAGCTGTCCTGGAACAGCTGTTCCAGGAGCTCCAGATTTATTTGCTGTGTTTAAATGTTTGCGTGCAATCCCATGCTTGGGATTTTGCAGCAGGGGGTTTCCTGTTATAATTTGCATTTATAGGGTAAGCCACCTGCCAGTTATAGTTAGGTTCCCTGGTCCCACCCCTTTTTGAGTTTTGGAAGGAACAGGAGCCTTTTTGAGTTCAGTTCTCACAGAGAAGCCTTTCGCACAGGACATAGAACGTAGTGGCTCCTGTAGAAAAGCTTCGTCTTTTACAGCTTGGCCGGGGTTATACAGCCCTACGGCTTGGCTGGGAGACATACAGCCACAGCTTGGCTGAGGGACTTCAGCCGGCCATTACAGCAACCTGAACTCCTTATTTTTCCCTGGAGGTCTACAAAGCTCTGTTGGGGCAAGGGTCGCTCTCAGAAGCCAGACGCAGTTGGTACCGGGTGCAGGGGCTCCACGTCAACAGAGGCAAGTACAGACTGCCCAGATTAGAAGCTAGGATTTCCCCATCAGTTAGTCACAGTTAAGAAGACAGTGCCTGTTCCCAGTGAACAAGATTACAAGAGCCAATAGACATTAAGAAACCTTTAAAGTACCTGTTTGTTTTCATCAATAAAGAACTTTGTTGGACTTACTTTAAGCCTCTACAGAACTTTGTTTGGGGGAATCTAAGGGCCTTTAATCTGAGGCAGCCCCGGCGTTCCGTTGGGCACACGGAATTTATGTCCTGTCTACAGTTATATGCACAGGCCCAGCGTGCGACAGCACAACAACAACAACAACAAACTCAACAACAACAACAACAACAACAACAACAGGAAAAGCTGACACGATATGAGGATTTAAAGATCGAACTGCAAAAACTCTGGCAAAGCCAGTCAAGGTGGTCTCAGTGGTGATTGGCACACTGGGTGGAGTGCCTAAAAACCTTAGCCTGCACAATCGGTGCTGACAAAATTACCATCTGCAGAAGGCCACCTTACTGGGATCTGCATGCATTATTCGCCAGTACATCACAGTCCCAGACACTTGGGAAGTGTCCGACATGTGATCCAATACAACCGCTGGCTGTTGTATTGGATCACACGTCAGACACTTCCCAAGTGTCTAGGACTGTGATGTATTGGCGAGTGATCTTGTTTGCTGTGGACTCATCTTGTTGTGTTTCAAATAATAATAATAATCATCATCATCATCATCATCAGCAGCAGCAGCAGCACACTGGGTACAGTGCCTCAAGATCTTGGTCTGCACTTAAAAACAACTGGTGCTGACAAAATTACCACCTGTCAGCTGAAAAAGGCCACTCTGCTCGGATCTGCATGCATTATTCGCATCACACAGTCCTAGACACTTGGGGAATGTGTGACATGTGATCCAATACAAAAGCCAGCATAGTGATCTTGTTTACTGTGTACTAATCTTGTTATGTATCAAATAATAATAATAATAATAATAATAATAATAATAATAATACTGTCACAAGTACTTGCTGTCAGTAGTAAAGAACTGGTGGGATCATAAACCTGCAAAGGCAATGGAAAATGAACACACAAAAATATTGTGGGACTTTCGAATCCAGACTGACAAAGTTTTGGAACACAATATACCAGACATCACAACTGTGGAAAAGAAAAAGGTTTGGATTATTGATGTCACCATACCAGGTGAAGGTCAAATTGACGAGAAACAACGGGAAAAACTCACCTGTTATCAGGACCTGTTATCAGGAACTGCAAAATTGAACTGCAAAGGCTCTGGCATAAACCAGTACAGGTGGTCCCAGTGGTAATCGGCACACTGGGTGCCATGCCAAAAGATCTCAGCCAGCATTTGGAAACAATCAACATTGACAAAATCACAATCTGTCAACAGCAAAAGGCCACCTGACTTGGATCTGTGAGCATCAGTTGAAAATACATCACACAGTCTTAAATGCTTGGGAAGTTTTCAACTTGAGATTTTGGATATGAAATCCAGCATATACTGTGTTTTTGTGTCAATAATAGTAATAACCTGTATCTGCAATACATTGGAGAAAGTGTCAGGAAATTCTCAAAGTTTGCACAACTGTAAAATCTTAGTGCTAGCAAATTAGTGCTTCAGAATGCATCAGTACACTACTGCTGTATTCCCATCCCACTACGGAGGCTTTAAACCACCAAACTGTGAAATCTTAACATACCACAATTTGGTTCATAGTAGATGCCACTGGAGTAGAATGCAAAGGACTTGTGGGAGGCATCGATGTTCACAGCCACAGGGCCATGTTTGTAGAGAGCAGCCCGCAGAGCCGTGGTGTTTTCAGAAGGTACCATGACAAAACCGGAGACTCTTGCCAACAGCTCAGTTTGGTTGTAGTGACAATAGCCATTCTGGAAAGCAGAAAGCAAACACATATCCGTTCACTGCAAGAAAGCTACTTGACAGTTTGTGATATATGTTTGTAAACATGTAACCCCCCTCCATAGGTTCATTTGCAAGGCCCTCATATACCAAGATGGGACTTAAAATGGTTAGAATCCTCAATATATTGAGGATGAAGACTTGTTGTAACAATGATAATACTGGGTTGCTGTGAGTTTTCCGGGCTGTATGGCCAGGTTCCAGAAGCATTCTCTCCTGATGTTTTGCCACATCAGGAGAGAATGCTTCTGGAACATGGTCATACAGCCAGGAAAACTCACAGCAACCCAGTGATTCCAGCCATGAAAGCCTTCGATAACACAATGGTAATACTGTAAAAGAACCTCTAATTCTGCAGCAACCTTCACCCTCTTTGTTTTCTCCACACGACATACCAGGCATTTGTAAAGATGCAACTAACCAATAATTAATCTGTTATCCCCATTTTTTCTTTTTCCTTCCCTTGTCCCCCCATCCCCTACTTTCCTAGTAAATCTATATAAATAAAAATGTAATGTTCGTTTGTGGGATTAACAGAACTCGAAAATCAGTGGGCCAATTGACACCAAATTTGGACAGCATACAACCCAATGTATGTCCTTCACTCTAAGTTCTAGTTCTAGTTGCTGGGATTTATAGTTCACCAACAATCAAAGAGCATTCGGAAATCCACCAATGATAGAATTGAACTAAACGTGGCATACAGGACTCCCATGACCAACAGAAAACACTAAAAGGGTTTGGTGGGCATTGACCTTGAGTTTGGGAGTTGTAGTTCACCTACATCCAGAGAGCACTGTCGACTCAAACAATGATGGATTGGACCAAACTTGGCACAAATACTCCATATGCCCAAATATGAACACAAATGGAGTTTGGGGAAAATAGACCTTGACATTTGAGATTTGTAGTTAATGGGATTTATAGTTCACCTATAAGAGCATTCTGAATCCCACAAATGACAGAATTGGGGCAAATTTCCCACACACAACCCCCATGACCAACAGAAAATACTTAAGGCCATCCAGTCCAACTCTCTTCACCAGGGTAAGAAAATGTAATCAGAGCCCTCCTGACAAAGAGCCATCCAGTCATAAATATAGATAGATAGATAGATATGATTAACCCACACAGAGAGATATAGTATCATAGATTTGAAAGGGACCCCTAAAGAAGGACTATGATATGTTGCATATTCCAGAGTAGGCAAACTAGACACTCTCCACATCAACACTGACAAAGAAACAACAAGAAATACTGTTTCCCCACAAGCATAGAAAAATTACATATATTAGAGACCAACACTTTCTCGTTACTTTATTTTCCAGATCACCAGACTGGGCCACAGCAATGCATGGCAGGGGATGGTTAGTCTATATAAATAAAAATATAATGTTCGTTTGTGGCATTAACATAACTCAAAAACCACTGGACGAATTGACACCAAATTTGGACACAATACATCTACCAGGCCAATGAGTGACCATCACTCATAAAACACTGAAAAACACAGCAGAAGAGACCTAAAAGCCAAAAATCCAAAATACATTACAATGCATGTGCAAAACCACATATATACACTAACACACATATATACAAATACACACACACACATATATGCATATATACACACACAAAACACATATACACAGACTGGGCCACAGCAGCACGTGGCAGGCGACAGCTAGTGTTTAATAAAAATTAGTCGGAAACATTCAGGTGCACATTCGATTCAATGGTGCATTAGACTCGAGGGTGTGCATCCTAATTCTTTTTCTCTGTGAAACTGCCATTTTCCTTCCTGATATAGGCTCCAAACTCACCTGCCCAAGGTATGGCCCATAAGACTCTGTGCTGGGAAGTCCGCCATGCTTCATAATCCATTCATAGGCAAGCCACTCCTCACCACCATCGCAAGCGTGGTTCCCAAAGCCCCAGGAGCAATCGATCAAGACTTGCTGAGACAGTGGAGTGAGCACTCCAGTCTGCAGGGAAAGAAGGAAAGACGGGTGCCTATGCTAGTATTGTGCTGCTATATAGTGAGTCATAGCATTGATCCATATAGCTCAAGCATGGGCCAACTTCAGCCCCCCTAGTTGTTTTGGACTTTAATTCCCACAATTCCTAACAGCCTGGTGGGACAGGGACTCATGCAACCTTTCAAATGGTTTGCATGTCCCAAAGGCATCAATCAGCCATATGGCTCCGTCTTGTTGACATAGCAGCAGCAATTGACAATGTATGCACAGAAGTCTTTCCCAGGTCTACATGAGAATGGCAAGAATTGATCGAATTTAGGACATTCTGCAGGCAAGGCTAAATACCTAAGAAATTTTCATCCATATGATCTCTTCCTTGACTTTAAAGTTCCACATATTGTTATAACTCTGCAGACTGCCACAGGCATCGCTTTCTTTTCCCCATCCAGAATTATCTCGTAATAGGTAGAAGTGGCATTTCATTTCTAATCATGAAAGAAAATACTGTTTGATGAACATGTGGAATATTGAGAGCACTTGGGTAATGACTCTAAATGTCAAGTTGCAATACCTTAGAGGGTGCGGTAATGTCTGAATCATAACAATGTGAGGGTTATTGCATCAGCTAGTGTGCCTTACTGATGACCTATCAGCAGGTGGCTATATATGTAAGGAGGATGAAAGAATCCATCTTTCTCTCTCCTGTGTGACTCAGTTTGAGTATCTGCCTATGTTCTGTATGTGACTATCTGATTTTTCTTTCTTTCGTGTCAGGAGCGACTTGAGAAACTGCAAGTTGCTTCTGGTGTGAAAGAATTGGCCGTCTGCAAGGTTGTTGCCCAGGGGATGCCCGGATGTTTTTGATGTTTTACTATCCTTTTACTAAACCACATTGAGTCGCCTGACTGGGCTGAAAAATGCGGTATAGAAATAAAGCAAATAAAGAAATAAAGAGAAATAAAGCAAATAATAATAATAATAATCCTTGTGGGAGGCTTCTCTCATGTCCCCGCATGGGGAGCCGGAGCTGACAGAGGAAGCTCATCCGCACTCTCTCTGGATTTGAACCTGTGACCTGTCAGTCTTCAGTCCTGACGGGACAAGGGTTTAACCCACTGTGCCACCAGGGGCTCCATGACTATCTGATGATTCTGATTGTTTGCAAGTACAAGGAAAGTGGTTCTGTGAATCTTGTTTGTATTAAAGATATTTTGGATGAAAACCTGAATAAGTGAGTTTACTAAACAGTGTGTAGATAAGGTTAGATGCTGGCAGCTGGACTCGATAGATGGACTGAAGCGTGTTTTTGCTGTGAAAGGACTCAGATATATTTTTGCTTGCTTCTGGGACACTTACTATCCAGCTTGCAGCAGTTCAGGGAGATTGTGATTTGTTAACTATACAGCACTTCACGACCAGCATCCCGTGACACCTCTGTCAATGCAACTCTCACCTGGCCTTCTTTTTTTTGTAAATCTATGACTATGCTAATGACAGACAGTCTTCTGTCGTTTTTGAGGAGCTTTACTTTTGAAATATGTAGGTTCTCACCTTCAGAAAAAGTGCACCCTCCAGCGTCCCAGTTGTAGCAAAGCTCCAGCAGGACCCACACACGGCCTGGTCTTTGACTGGGGTCACAGCACCTTCATTGGGGAGCAATGGGGACAAGGTGTATAGATATGCTGGTGGGATCAGTACTCTCCAAACCAGTGGTACTCTCCAAACCTTTTTTGATCAGGGACCACTTTGACCAGGGACCACTCTCCAACATTAGTACCAAAAGGGTTACAAATCAGGTTTTGCTCAACTTTAGATTCGGTTTGGTAATTTGGGGTGCAGATTCAGAAATTTGCATTAGATAGACCACATCAGCTCTAGTTTCTGATACAAAACATATGACATGCAGTAGTCATCATCTACTTGCCCACAGAAAACCATACTTAATAATGTAGAGCTGAGTGGTCTATCCAATGTAATTTTCTGAATCAGCACCCCAAATAACCCCAGGAGCAGGCCTAAAAACAAAGACACCAAGGCACCCCTGGAAACGCTCCATGTGGCACCTGGAAGCAGGGGTGCCTTGGTGTCTTTGTTTTTAGGCCTGCTCCTGGGGTTATTTGGGGTGCTGATTCAGGGAAGGGGGCTACTGTATTTGATCATAACTTTTTCACTGTGTGTATTATCATTGTTGTCATTTTATTTATACTCCCCCCTTTTCCCACATTGGGATTCAAGGTAGCAGAAAGTTACAATTTATTATTATTGTAACTTTCTGCTACCTTGAATCCCAATGTGGGAAAAGGGGGGAGTATAAATAAAATGACAACAATGATAATAATGATAACAATGTTCACTCGATTACTATCCTTGACCTTCCTCAAAAGGCTGCTGTGAAGATGAAATGGGAAACAGGGGAGACCTGTACACTGCCTTGAGTTCATTGGAGGAAAGGAGGTACATTAAGGTCCCTATGATATAAACAAAATAATTACCAAATATAGCACTTACCATAAAGCCTCCAATCCAGGTTGTCTGGCAAAGTGAGATCCTCATAGTGATGTGATGGGAAGGGCAGCCCCTTCCTAGGTTGCCCATTCGTTAACCTCCCCCTCCTCACTGCTATCTCTTCCATGGTTTGGTCGGCCAAGTGGTTTACTGCCAGCTTGTAGGAGAGATTGGCCCGGTTCTTGGAATGGATGTATCTAGAACCAAACAGAGGCAGGAAAGAAGACTTAAGTATCCTGGACCCAAACTGTTTACGGCTTTATAGGTAATAATCTGCACTTTGCATTTAGCCCGGAAGTGGATCGGCGGCCAGTAGAGCTGCCGTAACATGGGAGTTGTCCACTCCCTGTACAGCACTCCAGTTAGCAACCTGGCTGCTGATCTTTGGACTATTGGAGCTTCCAAACTATCTTAAAAGGCAGCCATATGCAGAGAGCATTGCAGTAGTCTAAATGGGATGTGACTAAGGCATGGAGTACTATGGCCAAGTCGAACGTCTCAAGGTACGGGCGCAGCTGGCGCACAAGTTTCAACTGTGCAAAGGCACTCATGGTCACCACTGACACCTGAGGTTACAGAGTCAGCAGCGAGTCCAGGATCACCCCCAAGTTGCAGACCTGCATCTCCAAGGGGAGTGGGACCCCATCCAACACAGGCTGTAACCATATACTCCGTTCTGCCTTCTGATTGACCAGGAGTACCTGTGTTTTGTCTGGATTTAATTTCAACTTGTTTGCCCTCATCCAGTCCATCACAGGCACTGGTTTAGGACCAGGACAGCATCCTTGGCTTTCGGTGGAAAGGAGTAATAGAGTTGGGTGTCATTGGCATATATTTGCCATGAACTCCAAAACTCTGGATGATCTCTCCCAGTGGTTTCATGTAAATGTTAAATAGGGGGGGGGGGGCAGAATTGAACTCTGAGGGACCCCAAAGGCCACCAGCCAGGGAGTCGAACAGGAGCCCCCCAGCACCACCATCTGAGAACACAGATAGACATTTTATTTAATGCTCAGGCCATAGGTCTTTCACATATAGGACAGACAAATAAATTCATAAAAATCAGATCATAAAATACAATACAAAGTACAAAATAAAACACAGAAAATTGTAGATGCATTGGCTACTGTGCTCAGATTCAGCCAGATCTGCGTTTTCCTGCCATTCCTCTCTGCTATCTGCCATACCATACGTTGTGGATGAAATTGTGCTTTAGACTTCAATAGCATCTGCAATTTCCTATGTTCTAGCTAGCATACATCGCTTGGATCTGTCAGTTGACAATTTATGGACATAATAATAATAATAATAATAATAATAATAATAATAATAATAACTTTATTTATACCCCGCCACCATCACCCCAAGGGACTCGGGGCAGCTTACATGAGGCCAAGCTCAACAATACAGCAATACAATTATACACATAGGAACACAACAGTAAAATATAAATAAATAAATAAAATACAAGAAACTATATAAATAAGCACAACAAACAATATAAAATCACAATAATTGAACACAAAAAAATGATCACAGTGGGCAGGGCTGGTTGCAAAAATTAAAAGTTTAAAAACACTGGGTGAGAGAGCAATGTAATGTATCTGGACAGGGGATCCGGGGATGAAAATAGGGTTTAATTGCACTAGCAGGTAAAATAAAGTGCTTCTGAGGGCATTTTTGCAGGGTTTGATCAGGTCAGGGATTATTGTTCATTCAGTCATTGAAGGCACACTGGAACAACCAAGTTTTCAAGCTCTTCCTAAAGACTGCCAGGGTGGGCGCTTGCCTAATTTCTCTGGGGAGCAAGTTCCAGAGCTGAGGGACCACCACAGAGAAGGCCCTCTCCCTCATCTCCACAAGTTGCACTTGCAATGGGAGTGGGAGCGAGAGAAGGGCCTCTCCGGAAGATCGAAGGGATCATGTAGGTTTGTAAAAGGAAATGCAGTCACGAAATTAGGCAGGTCCCAAACCGTTCAGGGCTTTGTAGGTAAGAACCTGCACCTTGAATTGGGACTGGAAAATAAACGGCAGCCAATAGAGTGCCTTAAACAGTGAGGTTGACCGCTCCCTATAATTCGCACCTGTTAGTAATCTGGCTGCTGCTTGTTGGACCAGTTGAAATTTCTGGGCAGTCTTCAAGGGCAGCCCCACATAAAGCGCAAAAGTCTTTTCCAGGTCTACATGTGTCAACAAGACAGATCCAAGCAATATATGCTAGCTGCACCGCGACTTTAGTATATTGCAGATGCTATTGGCTGCTGTGTTTCAGATTCAGCCACCTCTGCATTTTCCTGCCTTTCCTTTCTGCTATCTACCATACCTTATGTTGTGGATGAAATTGCGCTTCCGGTGTGCCACCTCCTCCTCGCTTTTGTAAGTCTTTTGGAACTTTTCCTTGTAATGATGGAACAGGTGATCGTGGACTCTTCCAATGTCCCCAGTGGCACCAACAAATTCCTGCATGGGATTGGCCAGGATTCTGTGCTCTGGTCCTCCCTCCGGCCAATGGGAACACTGCACACCTGCGATATGAGGAGGGGAAGTAATGGTCATTGCCAAAGGTATGTCAGCTGCAGGTTATTATGCCTCTTCAGGTCTATGGTCTCAGCCACACATGCAAAAAAATCCATATCATGCATTCCGGTGCAGGTGGAATACATGATACTTGGCTGTTTTAACAACGAAAGCGATTCTTTTTGGCTCTAATGCAATTTTCAAAAACTCACTTGATACCCTGAAGTTTTCAGGAAACACAGGTTGGGTGTTTGTTGGTTGGTTGGTTGGTTAGTTGGTAATATATGTGTCCTATCTAGAACTGGGGGGTGGTGATGGAGTGATTGGGGTGGATGGTGGGTGGGATAGACTGGTGGGGGTTTCCGTATCCGCGGTTTGGAGGAGCGCAGATTCGGCAAGGAAGGCATCCCGGGCAGACCTGCAGTCTCTCGCGGCCCGGAAAAGGTTAGTTTCATGTGTTTAGATAGTTTCAGGCAAGAAAGAGACACAAAGTATCAAGCTGGAGAGTTAAAAAGTTGGAATTTGATTATCCTTTATTTGGGGATTGGTTACATAGTTGGGGCTAGCAAAGGAGTGAAAGGAGAGAGCACACGGCTGTGTAGAGTCCCTGGTTGAGGCTGCTGCTGGGGCACATTTCATCAGTTTGGCCCAACTTGGCAATCAGGAACTGTGGAACTCCCTGCTGCTGGTCACACCAGCTTGAAGGCAGGGGTCTGGTATGTCCTCGATGACAGGGGGACAGTCTGGATTTTATATGGCAGTGCAGAAGGGGCCTCAGATAATCCAGTTCAAAGCAGATAATGTGGATTATATGGCTTGATATTCTGGATTATATGGCAGTGTATAAACACTCCCAAATTATTTTATTATCCCAGATTGTTTGGAAGTGTAGACTTATATAATCCAGTCTTCTCCCTCAACTCCTTCTGAGGCTGGAGCTACACCGCTCTATATCCCAGGATCTGATCCCAGATTATCTGCTTTGAACTGGATTATGTGAGTCTATACTGTGATATAATCCAAGTCAAATCAGATAATCTGGATTTTATATGGCAGTGCAGAAGGGCCCTCATATAATCCAGTTCAACGCATATATTATGGGCACATAACCCTGCCTTGATATTCAGGGTTATGTGGCTGTGTGGAAGAACCCTCAGAAACAAGGGAATTCCAGACACCAAACAATCAAGGGCCAGTAAACAACTCCAGGCAACAGAGGCCAGGCTACCTCTATGCAGATAACTTCCCTGATTGACTTTGCAGCTGTAAGGCTACTCAATGCTATTCAAGCTTGCCAATTACAACATTCAAACTTGCTTCAAACAGACAAGAGTTCTTTCTCCCACTCTGGACAATATTTCACAGGTATGTATACACTCCACTTGGCTCACTGCCAGCAGAACCTCTGAAGATGTCCTGAGCCACAGATGCAGGTAAAGTGTCAGGAGAGGATGCTGCTAGAACATGGCTATACAGCCTGGATAACTCACAGCAACCCAGTGATTCCAGCCATGAAATCCTTCAACAATACATCAGCCATGGGACAACTATGGCCCTCCAGGTGTTTTGGACTACAACTCCTACAATTCCTTACAGTCGGTGTGGGAGTTGTGGTCCAAACTACCTGGAGTGCCGAAGTTGGCCAATGCCTGCTCCAGATACTTTAAGTTCAATATCTAGTAATTCTGGGACTTGGATGCAATTGATCCCCAGGATGGGACCATACCTGAGAAGCCCTTGAAGGGAAACAGGTATCTGCACGTACCATGAGGAAGATCGAAGATGCTAGACGGGAAGCTGCGGGAAATGCTGTTGTAGTCGATCTCATACTTGTCATAATGGGAGCTCAGGAGTGTGTTGTATCCCCACATCTCATAATGGACCGGCACAGGGTCAGTGGAAGCATTGGACACCCACAACTTGTAGGTATTTTTCTTCTTGCCCCAATAGGACACGCTCTCTAGGACTGTGCAGTGCTGTCCCTTGTAGTAATCCAGCCCTACAACCTGGGATTTGGAGTATGAGGGAACACCATTGAGTTGGTTGGTAAGATGTTGAGAATAGAAAATCATAAATACGGTTTGCATGCAACAATGATTCCTAGGATCATGGACAAATGTCCACCATCAAACAGATCAGTAATATTCCTAATACAATCCTATTATATGACAGCATAGGGCCCTTTCACATAATGCAGAATATCAAGGCAGAAAATCCCACAATATCTGCTTTGAACTGGGTCATCTGAGGCCCCTTCCACACAGCTGAATACAATCCCACATTCTCTGCTTTGAACTGGAATATATGGCAATGTGGACTCAGATAATCCAACTCAAAGCAGATAATCTGGATTTTATATGGCAGTGTAGATGGGGCCTACATTCCACTGGAGTTCTTTCTACACTGCTATATAAATTACAGATTATCTGCTTTGAACTAGATTATATGGCAGTGTAGATTCACATAATCCACTTCAAAGAAAATAATCTGGATTATCTGCGTTGATAATCTGGATGATATGGCAGTGTAGAAGAGGCCTGAGTTTAATGTTAACGGATTAGAATTCATTTCAAAGGTTCAGTTATGGCAACCAGCAAAAGAAGCCACAAAAACTACAGAAATAATTTTTTGAAAATCAATGTGATTTCCAAACAGAATTCTCAAGATTTCTGTGCCTCGCTCAAGTGTAACTTTTATGTCAGATTGCAGCACAAAACTACATCTGAACGGATATGATATGGGCAAACTTGGGCCCTCCAGGTGTTTTGGACTTCAACTCCCACAATTCCTAACGGCTGTTAGGAATTGTGGGAGTTGAAGTCCAAAACACCTGTAGGACCCAAGTTTGCCCATGCCTGTGATAGATGATAGGAAGGAGTTGGAAGGACTCACCTTGAAGTCTGTCAAGTTGGGAAAGACACTTTGAGGCCCAATCGGTTTGTCCGATGTTCCATTGACCCGAAAACATTCTTTGAAGTTGGTCTTGTTTTCTGTAGTTTCGGGGGTCACCTTGAAGCTGGCCCCAAAAGGTTTTTCAAAAGCAAACTGATACGTCATCACTTGACCTGGAGCAAGAAGAAAAGTATTATGCCACCAAATATTTCAAAAGTATTACATTTTAATCTAACGGGTTTATTTGGCTGAGTTTTTATGAACAGCCCACTATGAACAATCCATTATGATACAAATGCTTAGGAGGGTGGAGGATGATAAACAACAGCATCAGGTGGAACCCATGGCAGTCATGAACCAACCGTAATTTGGTGGCAACAAAGATGAGTTTGAATTGTGAATTTTAAAATACTGTTTATATTTAATCCTGTTTTCATATTTGCATATTTGTATATTTTAAATTGTATACTGATGCTTTTATGACAAGCTGCTTTGAGTCTCCTTCAGGAGAGATAAAGCAGGATATAAATAAATATAATAAATATAATAAATATAATTGTATATTTTAAATTGTATACTGATGCTTTTATGACAAGCTGCTTTGAGTCTCCTTCAGGAGAGATAAAGCAGGATATAAATAAATATAATAAATATAATTGTATATTTTAAATTGCACCGGGATTGTGGTGCAGCTGGCTGAGTGTCAGCTGCATTAAGATCATTCTGACCAAAAGGTAATGAGTTCGAAGCCAGCCCGGGTTGGAGTGGGTTTCCAACCAATTGTGTGTAGCCTGTTGTCGACCTTTACAACCCGAAAGACAGTTGCATTTGTCAAGTAGGAAAATAAGGTACCACCTTAAAGTGTGGGGAAGCTAAATTAACTGATTTATGAGGCCATAAAGAAAACTCCAGCAAAGCATTCCAGCGGGGAAGCATGCGGGGAATGCAGAAGTGCTTCATCAGCGTCGCAGATGGACGATGAAAGCGACAGCTCCCTTGGCGGCCAAAAAAAAAGTTAAATAGCCTCTGTGTATGTTTGTATATGTTTGTATGTCAAAAATTGGCATTGAATGTTTGCCATATATGTGTACACTGTAATCCGCCCTGAGTCCCCTGCGGGGTGAGAAGGGCAGAATATAAAAGCTGTAAATAAAATAAATAAATAAATAAATAAATAAATAAATAAATAACATTGTATACTGATGCCCAGCTCGTTAACATTGTATACTGATGCCCTGCTCCTCATGTCAACATGAGACCTAAGGATGCCCAAAACAAAGCCCTGTGGAAACAGCAGTCACAATGCTCACCCCTCCATTGGGAAAATAGTTGTAGTAGGCATAAGGCATTCAGATGGTGGAAAGGCTAAATAGAAATGTCCATGAAAGGTAACAGCAACAACACAGTGGTTAATGGGAAAGATCTCTTCTTGAGAATGTTGCTACAAGCCTTAGTAGACAATGTGCAGCTTATGGACAAATAGTCTTTACCTAGTATGAAGAAGTTTCCAGCTTCTCCAAAATAGATTTTTATCTGTATGAGGGAAATAGGCAAGGCCTATCATTGGCCTATCACCAGCATCTCTGCACTTGCCCTGCTTACCTTGGTAATACTGGATCCGACTTCTTCCTGCAGACTCATTGAACCAAGCTTCAAAAGGCTCCACTATTTCAGCATAAGGTAGTTTGAGGATCCCTGAAAGAAGCAATTTGGTGATGGCGACTTCAAGGGAACAAAGAAAACTGCAATGCAATAAGCAAACAAACCTGAAAACCACTTCTTGGATATTGAATATTAGAAACGGAGATATAAGTTTGAAATAGTATAATTTGTTGCATTTGGTGACTTTGTTGCATAATCAATTGGTTTCCAAAACAAACCATGACACTTGAGCTATCAATGAACATAGTATTCTCTTTCTCCTAAGAGTGAACATTTCTTCTCAGCTGAGAAAATGTTGTCGGACTACAGTTCCCATTATCATTTACCATTGTCTCAGGTGATGAGAACTGGGTTGCTGTGAATTTTCCAGGCTGTCTGGCCATGTTCCAGAAGCATTATCTCCTGACGTTTCGCCCACATCTATGGCAGGCATCCTCAGAGGTTGTGAGGTCTGTTGGAAATGAGGCAAGTGAGGTTTGTGTATCTGTGGAATGCCTGATGTCCTTGGGAAGTGAGTTCCAGAGTCGAGGGGCCACCACCGAGAAGGCCCTCTCCCAAAGCAGTTGCTCTACTCTGAATTCAAGAATGGAAAACGGAATGTTGGAGGACGGGAAAAGAGATTTAAAGATGGGCTCAAAGCGAACCTTAAAACTCTGGCATAGACACTGAGAACTGGGAAGCTCTGGCCCCTGAGCGCTCCTGCTGTAGGTCAGCTCTGACCAGCAGTGCTGTAGAATTTGAAGAGGCACCAATGGAGGGCGAAAGAGAAAAACGTGCCAAGAGGAAGATGCGTCATGCCAACCCTGACCGGGACCGCCTTCCACCTGGAAACCAATGCCTTCACTGCAGGAGCATATGCAGATCAAGAATAGGTCTCCACAGTCACCTACGGACCCACCGCCAGTACACTGATCTTGGAAGACTATCCTACTCGGACAACGAAGAATCACCTAAGTAAGTGAGTAGGTTTTTTTTGTCGTGTCAGGAGCGACTTGAGAAACTGCAAGTTGCTTCTGGTGTGAGAGAATTGGCCGTCTGCAAGGACGTTGCCCAGGGGACGCCCGGATGATTTGATGTTTTTATCATTCTTGTGGGAGGCTTCTCTCATGTCCCTGCATGAGGAGCTGGAGCTGATAGAGGGAGCTCATCCGTCTTTCCCCGGATTCGAATCTGCGACCTGTCGGTCTTCAGTCCTGCCAGCACAGGGGTTTAACCCACTGCATCACCGGGGGCTCCAGTAAGTAAGTAATAACACTAAATCCTAACTGAGAATCATGTAACTATTCCCGTCTCCTACATCTTTGTCCCAAGAGTTCCGATCAGCGCAGTAAATGGCAAGTGCTTTCCAAAACATATGGTTGATCAAAGAATCCCAAACATGATTTACTCATTTCCTACAAACCATATATTCTTGGAGAATCAAAGAAAACCATATCACCTGTAATGTGATAGACATCCCAAAACTTGTGAAGTACCTGCAGAGGGGTGTGCAGAGTGGTACAGTCCGCTACTGAAATGCCTATAGAGGAAGACAACCAAACCAGATTCAATTAGACAACTTTAATATAATGTATGTACTATGTATTGTCAAAGTCAATATACAATCTTCCCCAGAGGATATTAGGTTGGAGGTACTCACAGAGAAAGACTTTTGATAACACATAATGTAATTAGTGTAAAAAGATTTGTTAGGAAATTCCCTTAATATGGGTATACGGATAATTCCAATGCTCCTCAAGCTATCTGATATGAGGAACTGGCAATGATATTTTTCAGTGTGCCAAGGACTGGCACCATATTGATGCCCACAGATACAACTGTTTCTTTTTTTTTTACATGAGACCAACAGTCAGTCCTTCAAGAATAAACACCAATCCACGTTCCACCGCTTTGAATAGCCCTGTTCTGGCTCACAATTGTGCTGTGTTGCTCTAACCAGGGAGAATCTCTGCACATTCTGTTCCAGATTCAAAGCTTTTATTGGTCTGTTGTTTGTAGCTCTGCTTAGTTATCCTGCGGCATTCTCCAACCACATTAACCTTGAAAAAATGTGAAAAATCAACATCCATCCTGCACTTTATTTAATACTATTCCACCCATGATCTAAAAGATAGGAAGACAGAGAGACTCACCGAGAAAACATGTCCATGTTAATAAGATCAGCATCCCCATTCCGGACATAGGCACGGGCCAGGCAAATCTCTAGTGAGAGACAATTTCAGAAAGAGCAGTTTTATTAAGTCATGGTGTGCAAACGGTTAAATGAGGGCCCTCCCAAAAGGTAGGTGTGGAAGTGGTGTAGAATGTAAGCGTGGGTCTAGAAGAGGTCTTATTGGTTGATTAAAACTCCCAACAAAGAATCACAAGAGCAGGTTACAAGGCCGTGCGTTGGCTTGTTTCTCTTTAGAAGGGGTCTTTTCAAACTTTGAAAGTGGGCAGCCAAATCACGGTTCCGCAGACTGTTGGGGGCCAAACTATAATTTGGAAAAAATGAACTGATTCCTATACACACTGCACATATCTATAATGCAAAAAAAAAAAAAAGTCACCGAAGACAAAACAATATTTAAAATGAAGAATCATTTTCACCAACATGGACTTACCCATCTTACCGGCGGCACAGTGGGTTAAACCCCTGTGCCGGCAGGACTGAAGACTGACAGGTTGCAGGTTCGAATCCGGGGAGAGGTGGATGAGCTCCCCCTGTCAGCTCCAGCTTCCCAAGCAGGGACATGAGAGAAGCCTCCCACAAGGATGATAAAAACATCAAATCATTCGGGCGTCCCCTGGGCAACGTCCTTGCAGACGGCCAATTCTCTCACACCAGAAGTGACTTGCAGTTTCTCAAGTTGCTCCTGACATGACCAAAACAAACAAACAAACAAAAAACATCCTTGTGGGAGGCTTCTCCCATGTCCCCGCATGGGGAACTGGGGCTGATAGAGGGAGCTCATCAGTGCTGTCTTCAGATTCAAACCTCCGACCTGTCAGTCTTCAGTCCTGCTGGCACCAGGGTTTAACCCACTGCGCCATCGGAGGCTCCTATCTTTGGGATGGAAACATCATTATGCTGTTCAACCCCTGTGCCGGCAGGACTGAAGACTGACAGGTTGCAGGTTCGAATCTGGGGAGAGGCGGATGATCTCCCTCTGTCAGCTCCAGCTCCCCAAGCGGGGACATGAGAGAAGACTTCCACAAGAATGATAAAAAATCAAATCATTTGGGCGTCCCCTGGGCAACGTCCTTGCAGACGGCCAATTCTCTCACATCAGAAGTGACTTGCAGTTTCTCAAGTTGCTCCCCACATGACAAAACAACAACAACAAAAAACATCCTTGTGGGAGGCTTCTCCCATGTCCCCACATGGGGAACTGGGGCTGATAGAGGGAGCTCATCAGTGCTATCTTCAGATTCAAACCTCCGACCTGTCAGTCTTCAGTCCTGCTGGCACAAGGGTTTAACCCATTGCGCCATCGGAGGCTCCTATCTTTGGGATGGTAACGTCACTATGTTGTGCCCAGTCAATAGGAGAACAGACATCAGTGGCTCGCAACAGTTGCTGCTTGGTAAAACAGGACTTATAACCTTATGGTGATAGTGCCATGATCTTGAATTCATAGTAGGGCTGTGCAATGAAGAAAAAAATGTTTCATAAATCATTACAAAATTAGGAGGCGCTGGCGTTTCGTTTCTAAATGTTTCAAAAGTATAGTTAGTAAAACTTTTGTTACTATAATGAGAAGTGGGGAAACTTCAGAGGCTCCTTTCCCCCTCATTTGACACCCATTGGGGTGAAACTGGCTACAGTGGTAGAACATATTTACCACTGTTAGACCATCAAGTTTCAGAACATTTCACTTATCCACAGATTTTTGGGGAATTTTCAAAAAATTTATAAACAACATTTTTAAAACTATAAGAGTGATCTCCTTGAATTTTCTATACAATGACACAAGATAACAGGGGATCATTCTGCCCAACTTTCAGAAATATTCATACATCTACTGATTTTAAGGATTTTTTAAAAAGGGAAGTGTGGGCCTACTTTTGGATGATGAAATACGGTTCTTCTGGCCAAGACTACTTGTCCGATTGTATCTCCTGTTATGAACCATCATGAAGTGTAAGATCTTCAGGAGAGGCCCAGCTCTCGATCCCACCACCATCGCAAACATGGTTGGTGAGGACGAGAGACAGGGCCTTCTCGCCAGTGCCCCCCCCATCTGTGGAACTCTCTCCCCAGGGACATCAGGTTGGCCACTTCCCTCCTGTCCTTTAGAAGAAAATTGAAGACTTGGCTTTGGGACCAGGCGTTCGATTAGTGGACAGCAGCAATTGGAAAGAAGACTTGGATACTGCGACATTGAATTAACCCCAGACTTGGATTTGGTTTTAACTGACGTGACTAATCTATTGTTTTAATGAATTGTTTTTAATGTTTTAATGTATTTATTGACTATTTATATGATGTTAGCATTGGGCCTTTTCGGTGGTGGCCCCTCAACTCTGGAACTCATTCCCTAAAGACATCAGACAGGTCCCAAACTTGGCAGTCTTTAGGAGGAGCTTGAAGACGTGGTTGTTCCAGTGTGCCTTCCCGGAATAATGATCCCATAGCACTTTGTCCTCCAAAGCACTTTACATTTTTTAGATCTGCTCGTATGCCCTTCCACAAATGCCACTATCACCTTTCGTCCATGTCCCAGCATTATTTCCATTTTAACTTTACATTTGGCCTTCCCACTGTTTTTAATTGCGTGTTGTCTTATTGATAATGTTGTATATTTTATTGTCTATGTTTTTATTTTAAATGCTTGTACTGTTGTTATTTTGCTTGTATTGTTGTATTCGGGCTCAGCCTCATATAAGCTGCACCGAGTCCCTTGGGGAGATGGTAGCGGGGTACAAATAAAGTGTTGTTGTTGTTGTTATTATTATTATTATTATTATTATTATTATTATTATTATTATTATTACAATGCTTAAGTGAGGCCGCCCTGAGTCCCCACTTGGGGGGAGAAGAGCAGGGTAAAAGTGTATGAAATAAATAAATAGTCAAGTTTATTAGGAGTGTTGTTGTGTGCCTTCAAGTAATTTCAGACTTAGGGCAAACCGAAGTCTAAAGTTCAGAGCAGGGGCCAGATAAATGACCTTGGAGGGCCGCATCCGGCCCACGGGCCTTACTTTGGGTACCCCTACTCTTTAGTATTAAAGTGAATCTTGAACCAAAACCAATATTTTATCCCTAGAGAGCAGGAGTCAAGACTGACCTGGTCAAGGAACGGAGACAGTTTTGGTTGTCTTGGTGGATGACTTCCACAGGGAACTAGCCAGGAGGAGTATATCAGTGTTGGTTCTCTGGGATCTCTTGGCAGCTTTCAATACCATTGAGCATGCTATCCTTTTGGGTCGGCTCTCTGGAATGGGTCTTGGGGTCTTTGCACTGCAGTGGCTCTGCTCCTTCCTGGAGAATCGTACCCAGGTGGTTATTTATTTATCGTGTCAGGAGCGAACCAAAACAGTTGTATTGCATTAAAAACAAACAAACAAACAAACAAACAAGACACAAAGTTTGCAGATATGGTATTCTATTAAATGTCCTTTGACCAGTATCTGGCCACTTGGAGTGCCTCTGCTGTTGCTGCAAGAAGGTCCTCCATTGTGCATGTGGCAGGGCTCAGGTTGCATTGCAGCGGGTGGTCTGTGGTTTGCTCTTCTCGACACTCGCATGTTGTGGATTCCACTTTGTAGCCCCATTTCTTAAGGTTGGCTCTGCATCTCGTTGTGCCAGAGCGCAGTCTGTTCAGTGCCTTCCAAGTCACCCAGTTTTCTGTATGCCCAGGGGGGAGTCTCTCATTTGGTATCAGCCATTGATTGAGGTTCTGGGTTGAGCCTGCTACTTTTGGACTCTTACTTGCTGGGGTGTTCCATCTGTGGTGCAGATTTAACATTTGTCTTTATATGCAAGAAGCTGGCACCAGCACTGATACCAAACAGGGGATGGGCCTGGAGATGTCACTGCCTTGGTCCTTTCACTATTGGTTGCTACTTCCCCGGATGTCAGGTGTGCAATACTGGCTAGACAGTGTAATTTCTCCAGTGGTGTAGGGCGCAGACACCCCTTGATAATGCGGCATGTCTCATTAAGAGCCACATCCACTGTTTTAGCGTGGTGAGATGTGTTCCACACTGGGCATGCATACTCAGCAGCAGAGTAGCATAGCGCAAGGGCAGATGTCTTCACTGTGTCTGGTTGTGATCCCCAGGTTGTGCCAGTCAGCTTTCGTATGATATTGTTTCTAGTGTCCACTTTTTGCTTGATATTCATGCAGTGCTTCTTGAAGGTCAGTGCACGGTCCAGGGCGATTCCCAGGTATTTGGGTGTGCTGCAATGCTCCAGTGGGATTTCTTCCCAGCATCACCCAGTTGGTGATGCTGGGGGATACCTGCTCAGACCCCTGGCCATTGTCTGTGGGGTCCCCCATGCTTTTTAACATCTTCATGAAACTGCTGGGTGAGGTCATCCAGAGTTTTGGAGTTGGGTGCCATCTGTACTTGCCACCCCATTCCAAGGAAGCTCCCTGCATTCTAGACCAGTGCCTGGAAGCTGTGATGGATGAGGGTTAACTAAAAAGTTGAAGCTTAATCACAACAAGACAGAGATCCTCCTGGTCAGTTGTGGGGTTGATCAGGGTATAGAGTGGCAACCTATGCTCGATAGGATTACACTCCCCCTGAGGACACAGGTCTGCAGTCTGGGGGTCCTCCTGTACTGATGGTTGACGCTTGAAGCTCAGGTGTTAGCGGTGGCTGGGAGGACCTTTGCACTAGGGCTGGGCGGTTTCGTTCGTTAATTTCGTAATTCGTTATTAATTCGTTATTTTTTTTGATAACGATGCGATATTGAACCATTCAGGAGCAACTAAAAATCGAAACGAATTTTTTAAATTTATTTCGTAATTGTTTCGTAATTGTTTCGAAATTGTTTCGTTATTATTTCGTTATTATTTCCGTATGTCTGGTGCAAGTTTTATAGTTGTCGTTTGTTTTATCAGTGATAAAAAAATAAATTATCACACCAACAGTCAACAACAGAGGGAGAGGGAAGCTTCAGAAGTTCCCCCTGTCCCATTTGGAGGGTTTTTTAGCGTATTGCGCAACCGCGCCCGCCATTAACGAATCGATTCGTTATTGTTTCGAAA